AACAAATAATAATATAATAATAGCGATCGATGATTTATTTTTATACTATTTTTATGTTCGAATTAATTTATTTAATTTTAATTAAAATAATAATTCACGTTGATTTTTAAAATGTTAAATAATAAGATTGAAATACTGAATTTTAAATTAAGTTGGTCACAATAAGAAAACACATTAATTAAATTAAAAATTAAATTTCCAGCAAGCAACATTTTCTAGTGATACATTTCAATTTCTACGTGACGATTTAATCGATGACAAGAAAAATCGATTCTTGAAACGCTCAAACTTCCGGTGTATTCAATCAAAGAGGAAGAAACAAAACGTTATTGAAAACTTTTCATCGTATCTGTCGATCGAAGAGTTTTATAAATATCGAATTTTCAATAAAAGGATATTTCTGAGAAATATGGGTAACATAACATCACCGATTCGCAATATATTAAACGCGTGGACAGTCGATAAGAAATTACTGTTATGGAGAATATTATCCGTAGTACGATTTTAATACTTATTTAGTATTGTGATATATCGATTACAGAAATTGGTGCTAATATTATCGGTATTTATTTTAAACACAACGAATGATTATATATATATATATATTTTTTTTTTAAGTCGAATTCATAACATTCCTTATATCCAGAAAATCTTCAATCCTCCTTGAATTCATTTAGATGACAAATAGAAAGGATTAATTAGAAAGTTAGTTTTTTTTTTTTTTTTTTAATCTTTGATAATCTAGAGAATTGGAAAAATTTAAATAAATAAGTAAAAGATAATTGGATAATAAAAATTTAAAAATAGATATTACTATATATCCGAGTGAGAATTTGTGAAAATTTTCGTTACGTATCAATTTCATTTGATTTTGAAGTTGTAAAAATTGTAGGCTACGCACAAAAAAGCACAAGAAAGTAAATCACCAGATGATAGTTATCTCGAAGGTGTACAATTGAAATCTTTATGACTCACACATGACTCAACGATGACCAGTTGTGAATTAAGTGCAAATTTCATAATTCATTTAACGTTTCGTTAAATCTCGACTGATACTTTAAGTTAAAAAAATATTCGCAACAATTTGATTCAAGTTATTCGAGAATATTATTCAATTTTATACACGTGTAAGAATTTTCAGAATTTTGATAAAGAGTTAACTACTTCTTTATCCAGAATCATCTCTCATTAACAATCGATCAATGATAATCATAAAACGATCGAATTTAAATGAACACGACTCGTACGTAAAAATCCATAATTATATCGTTTCTTTTTTTTTTTTTTTTTTTTCTTATAAATCTTTTACAGTTGTGTTGCGTAGCGGGCACCGCGATATACATGCGCCCATTGGAACCGTATCTCGACGCTCCGATTTTTGGTGTTTTGGTACCAACTTTTATATCGGGCTATATCATCGTCCACTCGATCGAAATTTTCATCTTGATCGTAAAAAAGGAGTATGTCTTTCTCGTGAGTAAGTGGAAAGTGAAATGTAAAAATTAGGATAGAGTAAAAAATATAAATAATCTATAAAAAAAGAAGAAAAAAGAAAAAAAGGAAAAAAAAGAAAAAAAAAAATGAACGATTTATAAACAGGAAATATGTTTCGTTGTAATTGGAGGGATGGGATGTATAATATGTGGCACGTATCAACTTCTCAAATGGGTCAACTGGATAATTACTATTCTTCACGAGGAGCATAGCGAGGATTACAAGTACGTATAACGAAATTTTTCTCACATTGCATGATATAATAATAATAATATAGAATTTAATCCAACAACTCGTGCAACTCGTACGAGTAATAGAAGATAAATAAAATTGTCCTCCCGATTTCCAGCATACCGGAATTCATATTGGCCCTGATCTTCTTGTTCCAATTCGCCAGCTCCTGCGCTGTGCTGGTTCATCGTGCCGTACAAATGCGCGAATACATGGATCGAACGCTTTCATAATGCTTGGAGAGACGGGGTGGAGGAAGAAGGGGAGAAGAGAGAGGAGAGGAAGAATATATATTATTTAAAAATATATATCGACGAAATTTTGTTTCGAATCGTTTAAAAAAAAAAGAAAAATGATTTGTAAATATATTTTTATTTCGAGAAATATTGGGATATCTGTATGATATGAAAATATTGAGGGAGGCTCGATGATGAAACTCGATCAAGTTCCCTTGACGATGTGAAAAAAGAATTCGCGAGAGAATTGAAGAATTCGAGAAATTACGAATCGAGAGAGAAGGCGAATGTGTCGGAAGACAGGCGAGGGCATTGAAGTCGAAAAGGATTGGAAACGTTGGCCACGATATGCATCATCAATTAATCTACTTGACCCCGTAATTATCGTGGATGACCGGTACAATCGGTACACCCACGATCCGGATACATAATCGCGTTAATTATGAGTGCTGCTTGTAATTTAACTTCACAGGGCGCGACTCGACGTTAATAAAAATAAATTGGAAACATTGGGGAGAGAGAGAGAGAGAGGAGAAAGAGAAAGAGAATAGGGAACGATAACACGGAAAAAGAAATCGATGTAACAAGCATATTAATTTTCTATACAATAATAAAAATTATTTTGTTTTTTGAGAATTATATATTTTATTTTCAAGATTCGGGAATTTATTTTTTCAGAAGAAGATTATGGTAAATTTAGAAATTTTTATTTCCTCTCAATAAAAATTTGACTCGTTCTTTTCGTTTCAGCTCAGGAGAATTTCGAGAATTAACTCTTGGATCGCGATAGAATATAGATTTGTTTCTATACGCAAGATTGAAATTTTCTTTTTTCATTCTTTTGAAGCGTAATTTTTTAAAGTGGAAAAATTATGGTGGTTCAAGATCGATAGAAGGATTGCATAATCAAATCTAATGAAGACCAGGCCGCACCTACTGACCTAGCGAACACGTGATTTTTCAGTACGCATAATCGTGAATGTATTTGTATAAAGATATTTGCGCATACATAAGTAATTGTGTTCAGATGCGTTACACACGTCGCATATGTATGCAGTATAGTTTTTCTGTAATACGAGTAGCGAAAACTGTATTACGCAATTAGAAAATAATCTGTTGTAAGTTTAGGTTTAGGTCGAATCGTTCGTGATAATACATCTTTTGAGTTTTATTAATTTTAAGTTGAATGCAAAATTTTCATTTTTTTTTTTTTCGCATATTTATTTTAACTTGTTGTTTTTCGTTCGTAGAATCGTAATTTGTCTTGCAAATTCATCGATCGGCGTAAGAAAGCATTTCTTATATTGATTTGACCATTCGTTTCATATTTATCGTGGCAAAAAGTCGGCAATTTATCCCTATCTCGTTTCAATATTCACACTGCGCATTTACCGTGTCACGGTCGCGATCTTATAACTTTCTATAAGTAGTTTTTAGTCGGTAGTTAAGCATGGAGCGTACTAATTTATAATTTTCTTTATATAGAGTCAAATTATCCTTCTTGTCCATTCTGCACGTTCCAATTAAATTACTATGTAAGGGAAAAAGAAGTTTTTCAAAGTACGTTGCAAGAACACTTGGAAATTCACAACAAGTGGAAATTTTTTTTTCTTCACCTACATTTTCTACTTTTTACAGGAGAACAATTTCAAAATCAACGAGAAAATCCATTTTTCTCCATCTGTTCAATTACTGCAACATCCATATATTCTCTATCGAAATCAATCTCTCAATCTCTCTGGGACAAACCGTTTAATAATTGATGCTAATTCTCCTCTAATTTATTCAAGAAAAGTATATTTGCTGTGTCGTATGTAATACGATACCCACGATATGAAATCGAGAAAAAAGGAGTCGTAGAGAAATTATTTCGCAACGAGTAACACGATTCGAGCCAGGAATCGATTTAAAGATCGATTTTTCGACCCGCCCTCGATCGTGTATTTTCCGTTCATGCGTGTTTAATCGGTCTGCCCACAAGGTTTTTGCACACATCCGCAATGCACACAAGTCCAAGCAAAATTATACACCGTGAGTCATGTGATGTACAGCATGCAACGATGCATACCTTCCAACAGCACGTGCTCGTGAATTAAATCTCGCAGTTACCTTGCCCTTCGTCACAGACTCCAATTACTGAAACCATTTTTTCTTCCCCCCTTTTTCTTTTTTCGCAACTCTGAGTTTCAAGGCGTTGTGTTGGATTCTTTTTACACGATCGAGAGAAATTCCTTTGAAGGAAAGATAAATTTTATTTTGTCAATATTTTGCCAAAAGATGAATTGATTTCACAATTGATTTTAATCGAGCAGCCTTAATTCTTGACTTGACTTGAGACTTAACACTTGAATTTTGAATAATATAGAACAGAACTTTTCATCTGTTACACAATTATATAATTAAACAATTATACACATTGTTTACAACACTCGTTTCCCAAGTGTTCAAACACATAATTGTGTCGATCATCCGTCTATCTAATTACCAGTCTCGATTCGAAGCGTCGTTTTTCAAAAATTTACCAACTTCGAATCGAGCCCCCACGATAAAAGGAATTTCGCAATTCACAAAGAGGCAACGCTCCTCGACCAATTTAACCCAGAAAAAGAAGCCTCGCCCACTGTCCAATTATTCTCTCCTCCTCGGCGCGGTCCTCCACCATAAAACTACGACAACAAACTAAAAGCATTGTATCCCCGACCAAACTCGATAAATTCTCTTTCCACGAACGAAGCAGAGAGCAGGAAATGCACGTACGTTACGTAAGAAACGCGTAGTTTCCTCGGGAAATTGAAAACTGTCCTTTGTCGGAAGCAGAGGAGAAGGGAGGGGGAAGAAATACCGAGCGATCCGTGTCGATTAGGCGTGTTTTGGAAATAGAGTGGTGTGGATCGTTTTTCGCTAGATTGTACACCAGTGACACGATAGGAAGACAGACGGTGAACCTGGTCGTAACAAAGTCGGCAAACGCCTGCGCAACTCGTAACAACTCGTACGGCGACGTAGGCTCGTGTTGTGTCACGGTTGGCGTTCCAGTTTAACTTCGTCCGCCACACGGTGTAGAGCTGCGTGTTTCTCTTCCACGACGATCGCTTTGTCGCTTGTGTGTCAATTGCGAGGTAACGATCGAGCCATCGTAAGTGTAAATACGAAGAAGATTTCTCTCTTTCTCTCTCGTTCGTGTGACTCGGTTTGGCGAGGTTTGAAGCGAATTAAAGTAAGGTTATTCGAATCGACTTCGAGAGGAGTAAAGTAAAGTAGAAGTTGGTTTGACAAGTGTTTGCATGTGCAACTTGGAAGAGATATCCGTGTATAAATCCACGTGGATGGTGAGGAACCAAGAGCGTATTTGTTGAGGAAGGTAAGTCGTTTGCATGGAAGGACTTTTGTTTGATTAAATTGATTGATTTTCGACGGAATTAAAATTAAATTCGTTGCGCACTGTCGCTTTTACGTTTAATCGAGTTATTGCGCGTGTGTTTATTGAAGAATCGTTCTTCTTTCGTTTATAAAACTTTGTTTGCAAAATATTCTAGGAAAGAGAAACGCGATTCTTATAATTCGTAGAGTATTTACTCTGTCATTGAATCACGTTTACTATGATTGCGCAATATTTTATGATTCACAAAATTTCAAGAATGTTAATTGCATACAACTGCATAAACGTTATACGGATATACGATGAACGTTTATAAAATATATAACTTTCAGAGATTTGTAATGTGTCGCAGGAAAAAATCGTTAAATCTTGTTATTTAAATATCGTGCAACAATTATCTACGTAAAATCACTTTCCGTGTCCACGAGGCTTTAATTTATGCACACAGCACTAATTCAGATGTTAATCGTGTTATTTACCATTGTTAAGGTTCAATGTGCTTGTTGAGACGAGATTAAGATCAAAGAGTGGGAAAAATTGATCGTGGACAAAGATTTGAAATCTTTCAAACTGGGTGACGGAAGAGGAAAACATCGTAGAGTCAGAATGGCAGACGAGAGTCAGCAGGAGAGTCAACCTGCGCGTAAAGAGCGGAAAATTATGAATTACTTGCCATTTTCGCTAAAAATTTTGGAAATCGTAAGTAATGATCGATTAATTAATTTTTAAAAAAGAATAAAAAGAATTAAAAATTAAGCGTGAAAGAATTATGTAAGTATGCATTAATGAGATTTATTGTACATTTATTCTTAAAAAGAATTGATAACTATAAATGTTCTGTTGAATTAATAATGAATTGATCGAGCTGAGAAATAAGAATTTCGAAAAGCAATGTTTTTTTTGAAAATTTATCAACTAATTAATAAGAAACATTTGCTTTTATCTTAGTTATGTCTGATTATGATCTTTGATTTAAATTTGATTAAATTTTCAATTTTGTTCGACAGATACTAGCTGTATTCTCGATCGGATTGATCGTGGATCCATTGAATTCGTTCCAAAAAATATCGATCAGACATTTCAAGCTTGACGATGCTGCGATAATTTACATCACTATCGCTGGTTACATCATAATCAACACACTTTTCATCATTTGCCAAATATTGGGCGATCGAATACCGAAAAGAACGGTGAGTTAATATATATTTAAATTAACGAGAATAATTAAGAAAATACAGAAGATGTTACAAATTCGTAGCAAAACTTACGTCTATAATTTTTTCTTCAAATTTAAAAAATTTGAAAAAAATATGAGAGATAAAAATTATTGCGCATACTTTGTCGTGCAATTTTTTATTCTATACGATTAGAAAAAAGGGATTGCATGACACGTTTAATGACAATGCGATGGATAAAACGTCACAATCAAGGGATCGCGTGACAAAAGGACGAATAATATAGATTCACTTCCTACATTCAGTGTTTTAGGCGTAAATCTACTAGCAAGGTCGAAGTTTCCGGCAGCAAGTCTCTCGAGGAAGAGTACTATTTGCACGAATAGCAATAAATCGTTAATAGAGTAAAGATATTTATTGGTAAATGAAAATTTATTTTAATAATTTTTACTTTGGATATTTTATATTTTCAGATTCTGTAATTTTACATAAATTATTTATCCAATAATTGATTGCGTCTTTTGTGTGACTATAGTGTAAAACTTTTCATTTCGAAATGTGTACAAAATTATTTGTCACATCGTAACGTGCAAGAAAAGAAATTTCTATTTTAACAAGTTGAAACAACCTTTAAATTGAACAAAGAAAAAATTTTTTTTAAACAATTTGTGATACAACTGTCCGATTTTCGAATAATTTTTTAAAGAAGTAAATCTCTCTAATAATTAAATCCATAATCAATGCCAATTTCCTAAGTTTCTAGGAATAGAACATTCATCAAGGATTTTTAGTACGAGCTCGTTAAATATTCAAGGTATAAAATGAAGGCTTGTTTCTCATGGCTCATAAATGACATTGAACGAGCAAGCTAAATAATTGTATCGATTCACATTTGATATTATTTATGAATTATAATTTTACGGGTCATTAGGAACCGATTAAATCTCTCCCCCCACAGTTAATTCCATTTTAATGAGTCTATCATTTCGAAATACCATTTAAAAATTCTATATTGTATATCTTTCGTTTCGAATTATCAACATATTAGATTATCGAAATTATTAAAAAATTAAAAATCGTATCGCCACTATAATCTGCCCAGAGCACACTTTCAACCAAATCTACGCACGTGTGTTCCGTTCTTGTTCGATTGAAATTCATAACTTATCAACTTCCCATACGGTTTATCGGCCACCTACTTTTCGACATTTATGTTCGACAAACGATCTGGGACTGGTTGTTTCGAGACACGCGATAATTATTGTCGTTCGTATCACACAGGCGTGATAACGCGAAGAATAATTGCCGTGTTTGAAAGTGAACGACACCGTGGCCTCTTTTTCCATGGTGTAAGGAACTTTTATTTACACAAAAAATTTTTTCCCTCTTTTAAAGTAACATACAGACGATTGCATCTAAAAATTATTTTTCAAACGGATCCATCCTAATCGGATTTTCACTTAAGATTGTGAAATCATTCATAAAATATAATGCCAAATAATATTCGTGCATCTTTAAACAGGCGCATAATTGGAAAATTTTAATTTATTTATTGTTGTAAAAGTTTTAAATATTTACACTATTAAAAATCACAATTTGTATAATTTCTATTTCTTCACGATCCTTGAAAAATATAAGTAAAAGTGAATCCTTGATCTCGAGTCACGTGATGATCGATCTGCTCTGATTGCAGTTAGTAATATTTTCCTCGGTTGGGGCGCTTCTGCACATCGTCGCTGGGAGCGTAATTGTTTATAATTGGAGGAAGATTCTCGGCCCTTATTACAACAACAATGAATTCTATCCGAGCAAGCAGTACGTGGACATGTTCATATCTGGGGCCGTGTTCACGTTTGCAAACGTGGTTGTTTTTATTTTAGAAATTTTCTTCATCATCAAGTTCTCATCTAAAAGCACAGAGTGAAAATTTCGAAAGGACCGGAAAAAGAGGAAAATATTTTTTGCAAAGATTTATACACTTAATGAATAAGTTATTAATAATTCAGAAAAGTATGAGTATCATTTAATGTTAATGTAAATTTATCGAGAAGGAGGAGATCGAAGAATTATTTGTTGTAAGGAATAATGATTAATTTTTGACGACGTTTAATGATTTTAGGAGTTGAGGAACATTTTTCTAGAACGTATATAAAAGTGTGAATGGTGAGTGTGTAAAATGTATCATAGTTGATAGGAGAAATTTTATTTTATCGCAATAATAATAAGTACTTTTGGAGAACGGTAGTTGCAAGAAATTATAGAATAAAGAAGAGAATCGAAGAACGATGATTTTCCACCAAATGTGTTCTACACGATACATGATTGAAAAAATAATAATGAAAAAAAAAAAAAAAAAAAAGAAAACGATGTACACCGAAAAATCCATTCTAAAAATAATTCACAAGCCAAATAATATTTAAAGATTAATTGTAAGTCTTGATTCCGTCCAATTTTTAAAATAAGCACATAGGTTAAGTAATACTTGATTAGATATAAGTTAAATATAGAAAATGTACAAATAAAGTAACAAATGAATTGTACTTTTTAGAAAATTAGATTTTACGAAACATAGCTTTAAAAATGATTAGGATGATAATATTTAGAATTGATAATTTCGTAGAATTTTTAGTTTGCATATTTCGATTATCAATTTTTTAGAAATACAGTAAATTTAATAATAGAGAGAACTAATATCCAAAGATTTTCTACGTATACAAAATATTATTATATACTTTTAAGGAAGCATAAAGATTAAGAACACTGAAAAAAAAAAATACGAATAAAAAATATTAAATATTACTTATAATCCAAAGTTTGTTGTACGATTAGTTGTAGAATTGTATGTATAATAATATTATATATATTTCTTATTCTCATTATACATTTTATATATGCAACAAATCTCAGAATTGCCATGAATATTCTTCTAGATAATTAATATATAGAGAATTATACTTTTTATATACTTGATAATCGTAATTAAAAATAAGACCAAAAATTAAAATTTGCCTTTATAAATATTTATCGATTTATAGATCTATTTATATAGATTTAACAAAAATGAACGTCTCTTTATCAAAATATATTCCGTCCAATTATTCGCAATGAAAGATGTTCACGCAATCTTTCCTATTAATATTTCGAAATTTTTGTAACATAATTTTATAAGTGAAATGTAAGATGTATCAATAAAGAGTTAAAATATATATGTAATTTATATCGTATAATGCACATACGAAACAATGGAAAAATAGTAGAAATATTTTATCGATTAATTTTATTAATCATGTATATCGTCGTGAAAATTTGTGAAAATTTTTTGCGAAAGAAAAAATATTTCAATCAAATTCCTTTTTTTTTTTTTCTCTTTCAACTTTACAACATTATTAATCAATCGAGGAACCAACTTAACTTGATACAATCTGAAGATAACTCTTCCTCTGTATATTCACGATGTCGGAAGAAAATTGCAAATCTATCGATACATCGTGATGCATCGATATAACAATAAACAAATAAACTGAAATACACGTGAAATATGTGGCGAAGGAATAATAAAGGTTCGTTCGATGACAGAAAACTTGATAAAACTTCATAAAACCAAGTGATAATGCACTCCAATCCCAGAGAAGGTGAAATCATCTTTCAATTATTAATCTCCTTCCTTCTAATTTTCATCATTTCCTTTCCAATAACGAACATTTTTTTTTTTTCAAACTTTCCAAATGTAGACGCTTATAAAATATCTGAAAGGAATAAGAGAGTTAAAAAGATCAAAAAAATCAACAAATGTGTACAATTAGTAATAAGGCCACTCAGAATTATTCAATTTGTGAGTATCAGTTGAAAAGGGGAAAAAAAAAAAAAAAAAAAAAAAAGAAAAAGAGGAAAAAAAAAGGAATAGAATAAAATAAAAATTAACTCGATACACGATACGATACGTTGCCCCAAAAATTAAATGTGTATGTGTGTGTTGATTAGCTAGTGGTATTGCTGATGTTTGTACTTGTCGTTTATGCGATTACGTTATCCGAGGCCGATCTTCAAAGCTTAACGTATATTTTACTCATCGTCCTGTCTGGAGCCTACCTTATCGCGCTCTCCATTGATCTAATTAGCCAATTCGGAGGAGGAGAATTGGGCGGGATACCGGTAAGAAATTTTCTAACAAATTGAAAAATTAAATTTAAATTTTCGTCTCTACGTGAGAATATCACTATATATTGCGGATATTTATGAAAACTGTATATTTTCTCGTCACGAGGATAAAGGATGTCGTATACGTAAAGAAATGTGTGCAAAAGATTTTCAATTGTTCATACGCAATCGATTTTTAATATCTCTATATAACGTTCGATTATTAAACGTTAAATTTATGTAATAGGAAATTGTTGTATAAAATTAAAAGAATTATTTCGCTTGGAAAATAATTTTTAAGAAATTATTACTTTTGCGTCCCTTCTTCGTTTCATAAATATTCGCACAAGACAAAATGCATGATATTCGGGACAAGGTACATACAAAATTTTCTAACAACTAATACCTTTAATTGCAGATATTTCTGTTCACGTTACTGGGCACGATATTATTCGCCGTAACTGGAATTCTTTTGTTACTTTTTACGTTTACTCCGTGGTACATATTAACGGTAGCGTGTCTTTCCGTTTTCATGTTCATTCTCTTTGTGATCCAATTAGCACTCATACTGATGTAAGTTTCCACGTTTTATATCGAAATTATAAAGTTTTCCAACGCTGTATGTTATCTTGTTGCCAGATTTTGGAAACGTAACTGTAATATCTGCCAAGTGTGCTCTCCCCTGTGCGAGGTAAGTGTCTAGTGCGAGAACAATTTTTTAAAGAATCTCTTATCTTTAAGAGAATTTGTAATGTAAACAAACTTACATAAAAATAAAAAAAAAAACTTAAAAATACCTATCATCTTTCGTGATGAAACCGGACGTTCGTGTGACAAGATGTATATTTAATATTCACGTGTAATGTATTATTACGCAATATGGCGTAAGTATGAAAGTATCAAGGCAAGAATAGGATGATTTAAATAAAAAAGAAAAAATTGCAATCGGTTTAAAATTCATTTCAAGATACATATAATTTCTGAACGATATTCAATTTTTACAATTATACTCTAATATTTAATGTAACTAGTTCGAAGTAATCTATGTTCCTGGAGTGTCGCGTTTCTTTTAAGGTGTATCTCTACAATCTAGACGGTCAAACATGACCTAATGACCAGCGTGAGCCAGATCAAATTATACGACGACGGCCAAGAGGTTGATCACACTTTCAGAAAAGTTGCACAGGCAAACCGGCGACAATACATGGATTCTTCAATCAGCGCTCAGAAATTATGCCACGTGGATGCTGCTGACATTCAAACGGAACATTATCCGATAGCGATAGCACAAAATCAGGTAAAAATAAGCTCAATATCTATATTTATATCAAACACAGATTAATTGTTCGAACTAATTTCTTTAAAATTTCTCCACTTCTCGTTACCAAGAAATGATGGATACTTTTATTGTTATTTTTGATTACAGATAAGAAGAGACATTTGTTCGTCCCATATTTTATCTTGTTGAAAATTGAAACGTAACATTTGTATATAATTAATTCCTTATATTAAAGTTATTTAAAATTTATCTTATTTAATATTCTGTGTAATATTCGAAATCTAGATACTGGACAATTTTGTCAAATATTATTCGATATTAAAATAGATCGAGATCTATTGAATGTTGAACAGGAAGAAAATAATTGAAATATATAGGACTAAACAATTGAATTTTGATTTTACAAATATACGATTAAAAGGACATTTATTCCTACGTTGTTACGTTTTTGTAAAAATATTTCCTTATTATTTTTTTTATCAATCTACTTTACTAATTCGATAAATTGTGTGATCAGACTCTTCAAGAAATGAGAGAGATGGACGTGCAAACATTGAGCAAGTGTGAGCTGTGCCATCAACAGATACAACTTTGCGCAAGTTCCTCAGCTTTGATCAAGAATCAATTTCAATGCGCAACTTGTCCCGCGTTTATACAGCTTTTTAAAGGAATGTCTTGTTCAAAGTTAGTTAAATTAATTTTCTTATTCGTTTCATTTTTTTTTTTATAATAATTCTTCAAAAATTATTTCATTATCACACATTCATTTTTCGCGAATGAATTTTAAAAATTTTCTTTGAGATTATTAATCGTAAAATCGACGATTCCTGACTGAACGAATGTTAAAATTATTTCTTCTTTCTATATAAATAAATATTTCGTTGACGATCGGTTGTAGATGTGTTACAGGTATGATGCAGACGTCACGACAGAACCGGCAGCTACAGGTACACCAACCGAAATTTGACAGGGAAACGATGAAGGGAAGAAATTTGATACGACCCACGAAGAGAAAGAATTCCGGCGAAATGTTGACGAGTGAGAAAGCTCGTAAACTCGATCAGGTTGCGAATTTAGGGGTTCAGTTTTAATTTGAGAGAGTTAATCTTACAGTATCAATTAATATCATTATAATATACATTTTTATCTTTCGATGTTAATAAAATATTTGAAGAGATGTGATAAATATACGAATGAAACTTGTGAAACAAGTGATTATTTCTTCGATATAGAAAAAAAAAAAAATAAAAACAAAAATGAACGAATAAACGAAACATGAAATGACGTATATCAATGTATAAAAAAATCGAGCACATCGAGATTATTTATCGAATTAAGAATATGCATATTATATTGTACGGTAGAATTTTTGTTATTAAAAAAACAAAAAAAAAAAAAATGGACGGGTCCTCCGAGACTTTAATTCCAAATGTTCGTTTTTTCGAAGGTGGCCAGCAACAAGATTTGAAAGATTGCTCATCAATGATCACCAAACTCACTCTCGCTTCGTGCTGTGCCCCGTCGGAAAAAACTCACATAACGAGTCAAACTGCATCGAAAACGTAAGGTTTTTTTTTTTTTTAATACAACGATAAATTGTTCCCACGGAGCGAAACTTTCTGTGGGAAAAGAAATTTGAAAAATAATTATCCGCGACGAATCTTTTTGTTTTAATTTGTTAAATTGTATAATCGTATTGTTTTTTTTTCTTTTGATACGTCGATACGTTTATGACTTTGATAAGTTACAAGGAATTATTAAGAAGTATATATAAAATCAAAATCATTTAATTTATATTTACATTATTTTTTTTTTTTTTTGACTAAACCTTTGGTAGTAGAAAATTCAAAGAAAAAATTCAAAATCAACTAAGAAATTAATTATTCCTTTAGTGAAAAATTTTCTTTTTCAAAAACTTCCAATAGCAAATAAAACAATAGAGTTTCGTAACTTACATAAATATTAATAATTACCGTGTACCTTCCACGATAATGTGCGAAAGATCTTGTTAAAGTCATTTTATTTACAGACCAAAAGTGTATTGTATACGCATAAATATCAATATCTAGAAAAATTTCGCGAATAATAGTTTTCGAACCTATCATTGACACCTCTTGGGAATTATCCTTCGATTCGTATAATCGTAGAAAAAACAGCAAAGAGAGATTGAAGAGAACGAAACTGATCACGTTGAACAGAGACAGAAAGAAGATAATAAAAGTAAGAAGGTCGAGGACTTCTTCATCGAGTAAGACCTCGCAACAAAACTCCTATTCTCAAATAATTGAAAATGGAAATAAGGTGTTGGAGAACGTGTCCGAAAATTCTATCGTGTTGATACCGGCCAACGATTCGAAATCGGTGGACGAGATCCATAGAATAGTGAGCATAGGATGTAAGAACAATCCTCATCCGTCCACCGACTCCAATCGAATGGAGGAACGGTTGCACGAGATAGAAGACACGAATAAGGAGAGAACGTCGCAATCTGACAACGAGACGAGGCTGATCGTAGCAAATAAAAGAGCACCGATCGAGAAGCAAATAGAGATCACGAACGAGTGCCAAGGTACGTGCGACACGATGCATTCGAAGGTCACGATTAAATCGGAAACAAGAACCACGAATTCGAAGAACCCGGGCAAGAATCCTGCAGCAAGGAGGCAACCGCGGAGAAAAATAGAGAAATTGCAGCAAACCGAATTGATAAATAGACGTGAGAATGAAACGCAGACCGTGTAAGAGATGTTTCTTTTTTTTTTTACAAGTTTCTTTTTGTCTCGACACGTTCAAGGTGACGTTATGAACTTTTTCAAGAAAAATGCTCGGTTTTTCTTTTCCATTATGTCGTTTATTTTTACATTTCATTGCTTTTTTTTTTTTGAATTAAAATTGAAAATCGAATATTATTAATATTCGTCGCCTGGGATATTTGAACGTGTCGAGTATATGTTTGATTATCGATCTTGTAATTCGATCGCATGAAATATCTCCAATTTTAATATGTAAAATGTCAAAGATGCAATAATGAATTTTCTTTCGTTAATTTTTTTTTTTTTTTTTAGAGATGATTTAGAAACATTATCGAGAGGTAAAAGAAGTTACACGAAAGGTCTTCGAAAAAACAGGGTGAAACCTGCCGATGCATCGTAAGAGAATTGATTTTATTAATTCGCTTTTGGAAATAGATATAATTGTTTGTTACAATATTAATAATCCTGTTGTATCATTTTCAGAGGTAGCGATATAAGTATCACGCTTGTGCCATCGTCTAATCCCAACTCGGCACCTTCCATCCATAAAAACAAAGTAATATTATTCTTTAAGCGAACGAAATGAATCAAATTATTATTATAATTCAAGTAACGAAAAATAACGCGCATCAATGGAATTGATTTGTACAGAAACTCGGTCTACAGAACAGCGCTTCGTTGCACGAGAAATACATTAATATTTGCCCAGCTTGTAAAAGGCCGCAGGTTAATTCTGACACTTTATGACACTTTATTTCAATGTAAATTTAAATATATATAACTGTGTATATTATCTTATTATATTATTCGATTTCAAAAAATTCAACAGGTACCCCTGAAGACGCCTCCCTTTCAGTATTACTCCGTTAACAAGGATAAACGAGGACGATTCTATTGCGACAATTGTGCACCCCCAGCCTCGATTAAGGTAAGGTTAAATATTGTTCAAATTGAAATATATATATATATTACGAAACAAAATTTTGTAATCTTAATTTATTATACCGTTTTGCATCACACAAAATTTTTCAAATATTTTATAGGTATCGTTCAAAAGGACGGATCAACAACGTTTAAAATGCTGCACATGCGGCAATTATTTACGTCTAAAGAACAGTCAGGTGGGGAAGTGAATTTTGTCGCGTGTAAATATCTATTATATTAACGATATATATCACGATTTTCAGACACCTCGATACAAATCTGACCATTGTCCACAGTGTGATTTATCGTTATCACGTAATATTTCATCGACGTAAATTTTTCGATAAACTCGACGAGATATTCATTGTATCATCACACTTAGATAATTAAGGAAGACCAATCCATGTGTACATATAAACGAGAATTTTATACTAAACGATCGTGCGGAAATATAATAGACAGTGTAGTAACAAGTAAGTTGAAAACTTCGAAAAATATCTGTATCGTTTAATCTGTGATTTTTCTTTTAATATAATTTTCATTATTCGTAGATCGGCGCAAAATGCTCAATCACAACAAAAAAAAAAAAAAATAAGACATCTTATACAGAACAACATTATTAATCGTGTAAGTAATTTTTAATTA